ATCACAAGAAATAAAAAGGAGACACAGATTTCTCTGCAAGTGCAATTTCAAAGTCCTTTCACAGAGGGATCTAAAGACTGTCAGCTAGGTTGCTCTGCTGCTGTATATTAAACAAGCAAGTAATGAAGCTATTGGTTTTGATTCATAAAAAGGCCTAAAAGATCATGGATAAAGTATACAAAGTTGATGACTTTTCCTTTTTTTTTTCTTTTTTTTTCTTTCTGAAAGGGAATTATCAGGAAGGTAGAAAAAGTCAGGTAAAGCATCAAAGCAGGCAAAGTAGTGACAACAGAAAACAATAAAATCAACACCTTTTTATTTAGGTGACCATCTAGAAAAACATCACTGCATTAATGCCATTTAAAAGCTATTTCAAAATCCAAAGTCCCTATGAAACACTTTAACTCCTACTAGTTTAAGGAATCGTTATTTTGTTTTCACTAACAGAACACTGATGTTCATTCCTAATGCCAGCTAAATGCAAATTTGAGCCTCATGTGTTACCTACTGCTTTCTAACAGGCCTTCATTATCTCTCAGTTCTCAGTTAAGACTTGTGCACAAATCCAGCAAAACAGTTTAGAAGGTACTTAATTTTCAGTATTTGCATAATAACACTGAACAGGATAAATAATATGCATTCTTAGTGCCAAGCATCAGCACTACGCCAATTTAAAGCCTTATTCTTTAACATTTCAGAAATAACTTTGAAAGCAAAATAAATGACATATATGAAGTATTCCAACAAGTCAGTATGCAATGACTTCTGAACAAAACACCTGCCAAGGCCAATACCTACCAGACACATCAGATTTTTAGTGACTTAAGACCTTGCTAAATCTCTGCAAACATTAATGCTAAAAACCCTTTATATTCAGAAAAATTGACACAAATGGGTTTGGCTCCTCATGCAGTAAGACAGAGCATTATTTTGATAAAGTAACAGGCATCACTGCAGTGCCAATACAGAAATTCTATACTTTGAAGTAGCTACAAATGTGAAGCAGGAAAATGCAGCTGTTGTTATGTGTTACAATGCAAATCTGATGAGCTACACTGGGAATATTCAGTATTGCAGTGCAAATTGATGAGAGGAGAAGCACATCATCTGAATAAAATAAAAAGATTTATTTAAATCTCACAATTAGGACATTTTCTTTAGTACTGTCCAAAAGATTAAAACCAGCTTTTTTCCCCAAGACCTCTTTACAATTTTTCAAGTTTGCTACTAGAATAACCACGCCACTTCCAAGAGAAGCACTCTATCAATTTGAAAAATTCTATCCTCTTACTGTAACAATCTGCAGGACCTGTGCAAAGACCTGCTCCCCTCTGCAGGTACCCTCAGCCCTCCCACCCTGACACATCCCCTCAGGGATTACAGGCCCAGGAACCTCCTCCACTCTGGGGCCTTTCATAGCTGGGGATTCCCCCTCACAGTCCCAGCACCGGCGGAGGAGAGCTCTTACAGCAATTTCCCAGTCTGTTCCATGTAGGAATACAGGCAGCAGACTGTGTTGGAATTTAAGGGAAGGGAGGAGGAACTAGTCTTAATTAAGGGCTTCCGCAGAAACCCTTTCAAGAGCTGAGTCACAGAGAGCACAAGTGAAATCTAATTGCACAGACCCCAGTGACACTGCAGGGACACTGAGGCTGCTGGGTTAGGCACAATCCGGGCCAGATCCAACCCTTTCCAACAGGAATCATATTCAACTAATGCAAGCTCCCTTTTTACCAGTAAAGCTTTTGAAATGCTGATTATGAAGCTGTTTTTCCCATACAAGCCAATTTTATCCATAGTTTGTGTGCACATTATTATGTGGAGAGGTGACTCCTTCACTACAAAAACTTACATGCAAAAGTGAATGGCTTCTTATTCTGACATTGACTGTTTACCATGGATACTCAGAATTATCCTGTAGCTTTAGGGACAATCATATTTCCCCTCCCTGGTACCCAAAGGAACCCAACAGGCATTTTATCAGCAAAAAAAATCCCAAAGGTTTGGTTAGACCTTAAAAAGAAAGAAAGAAATAAAAAGCAAACAAGCAAACAAAAAACCACGATTACATATGCATTTGAACACTGCACTCGGAAAACATGAGCTATAAACTGCAAGGATGCACAAGGAACACATTGCAGCAAACATGTCTGAGAGTTTTATTTGATAAATTACTGGTGGAGTTGAGAAAGACAAGAAGAATGAATGTAATTTATTAAGACTTTCTTAAAGCGTCCATCTGCCCCTAGAGCTTATGGAAATAACAAAGCAACAAAACGATGTAGCCCTGTAAGAATAACTTAAATCTAAGTGATAAAATATCTATAGGAAGGCAAAAAAGACACTTGAGATATTATTTTAATAAGGAGAAAATATGGATGATACTGGATCAACTGGATCAACTTAGACTGATACACAAAATTAAACATTGCCTACACAGCACCAAAATACTTGAAAGTAATCAATTTGCATTTTGTAATCATTCTTCTGTTAGGATCTGAGCTACAGAAGTCAACAACGCTTTTCTTGGAGACTTAATATATCAACATTTGGCCCTCTGCAGTAAGCATGGCCAATTTGTCTGAAGCTGTTTATTTACACACTAAAGACATTCTATACACAAATCAGCTGACAAAGTTAGAAAGTGACAATATTTTTAACCTTTGCAGAAATAGGCAAAATTACAATATAAATACATGTAATTGACATAATTGAATCTGCAGATTCTGGAGAAGAAAGAATGACTGACATGTATAAAACTGAGTAATTCAATTTTCTGCAAATTCACAAAAGGATTCATGCGACAGATGACAAAACGAATGAGAGGATTATACATTGTAACTACAAAAGGGCAAATCCTATAAAGTACATACACAGTTGTAATATGCAAGACAAGTGGATAATCCCATGTTCAGTGTTAAATTATATGAGTTGACCCATTGTTTCCAATAGCATCTCTATGTCCTCCAATTTTCCCAGAATGTAAAAGTATTCATTTGGTCACTAGCAAAGTCAGTGGAAACTGCAAACACACATTTCAAAGGCTGTCAAACTAAAATATATCACTATGACTCCAGACTTTGTGTAACATATTCTTCTCATTGCACTCTAAGACTGAGACATAAACCTTAACAAAGAAAACAAAATTATAAGCTGAATAAAAGCATCTGAAAAATTGAGTAAGTGTTTAATAAATAAGTGAATGAAAACAAGTACACCTCACAGCTTTCATATATTCCTGCCTTATTTCTTCTAAGTTTTCTTAAAGCTACAATGCCAATTAAATTAGCATTATTATAATAGTACATTTCAAAGAGATTGAATTAGAACTTACATTAGAATTGTTATACTTTTAAAAGTAATAGTTCCCATTGAATGAAACTAGCAGCACCTCTGACAAAATGTCCCAAAAGGGGAAAAAAAAAGGAAATCAAACTGAAAGAAATAAACCCAAGGTTTCATAGTAAGTGGTGAAATTGATAAGTAAACTAAATTCAGGTTTTTCCCGGCACTAAGGCAAACACAGGATAAAACCAGTGTGGGGTCTATAGACTAAAACTGCGACCACACAGCTGCCTCCACAGCTTTTTCCTTGGAACCAGCCACAGCCCCAGGCTGCTTGCACAGGTAACAGGAGGCTGTAGGCTGCTTTTCCCAACTTCATCCAAACTCCAGCTTCATCCAAGTGTGAGCTGTCTGCACACATTTCCATGCACAGCTCAGTAGTTTTGTTGGTGCTGTCTCCTTGTCCCTCAGAGGGCTGTGCAGGAAGGGTTTCTATGGGCACGGGTGAGTTGCCAGCTCGACCTAACTTGAATTTTTCAACGCACAAAATGTACCTTTTAAAGATAGGAAAAGTACTCTCCTGTTGTTTAAAGATTTGAAATTATTCAGAATGTGTAAAACTGCATTTGAAAGGAAATGTAGGTTATGGAATATGGGGACCTGCTATTTATTGGCAATGAGACGTTGTGTCCTGACAAAAAAGACAAAATATTTAATGCTATTTTTCCATTAGACATTTCAGTGATTCAATTCTAAATTAACATCTTAGCACATGTTCTGTAACATCTTAAGTACTTTAAAAACTGCTTACAGGTGGGCATATTGTGCAATTGCTCCTTGAACTGAACTTTGTATTTTACTCTTTTTAAGATTACAAAATCATGTAAGATTTTTTATTACACTACACCCTCCAAAAAAAATTAAACCTAAAATAATTCTTTGTCTCAAAACTTTTAGCTGAAAATCCCTGAACTCACATTTTAGGTTCCATCCTACAGCCAAGAACAAGAGGACTATTTTAGGGAGGGGGTAGGGAGTGGGGATTTTTCTTGTCCTTAATCTTGATTTTATTAATTTCTGAAATGGGTTACTAGGAATCGGCAATATGAATCTATCCCTTGGACATATGCTATCCTCAGAAAAACATAGCTACCTTTATCTAGTGTATAGTATAGTCATGCAGCCTACCCATGTTCAGCTAAAATCATTTAGGAACTGGTATAAAAGCACTTGATCGATCACTTCGACAAAGCACGTAAGGTTTCTGAAATGTTTTAAGCGTTACTGCCTTGCACAGAAATTTAAACTTCAGCCACTGCTCAGTCTCGGCGATGCAAGCATGGGTTGGCTGTTGCAATGTCTGTCTTGCGTTCTGCTGAGCATGGGAATGAATGGATCTGCTATAACACATTCTATTTCTGCCGCTCACCGAGGGGCCGCAGCATCGCCACGAGGGGCAAAAAAAACCAATTTTAATTAGCGCGAAACGTCCCCACGAGGTATTACAATATCCGGAGGGGAGGGACGGGAGCATGGTGGGGCCGTGAGGGGGCGGCGGGCGCTGAGGGCACGGGAGCGGCACCGCCTCAGGGAGCGGGCAGCGCTGCCCTCGGGCTCCCCGGCAGCGCCCGCAGCCCGCTCCTGCCGCTGGAGCGATCGGCAGCGGGGACAGGGACAGGGACAAGGGGTGAAATTGACACAAAATGGAGACTTACAGTCCCGCTGTGACACGCGTGCGCGGCCCCGCCTGTGGTGGCGCACGGCCGGGAGGCGGGGTCGCCGCGATCTCAGGGCCAGCTGGGACGGTGGCTGAGCGGCCGTGGCCGATTTTGCTGCCTATCGCCGATTTTCCTCCTTATCGCTTATGTTCCTCCTTATCGCCGATTTTCCTCGCTGTCGCCGGTTTCCCCTCTTGTGGCGGGCACAGGGGGCTGGTGAGGCGAGCGGCTGCTTGGCCGCGGTGGCCGCCCCGGCGGTGCCAGCCCTCCCGGAGCTGAGGGACCCCCGGGAGTGCAGGAGCGCCGTGCTCGGGGCCGGCCGTGCCCGAGGGCAGCCCGCAGGGAAAAGCCTCACTAATTAATTGTGTGGACGCTTCCCTTGGCAATACCAGAGGGTCACACCATTACAAGTGGGGAAAGTGATGTTACAGTGTGTGCTGTTGCCCTACGTATCTGGTGTAGACCCTGCTGGAGACGAGTTGGGATGATACCTTCCATTTTGCTCTCATCTTGCCTTGATTTTTAGTTCTGTGTAGCAACGGTGAGACTGTCAGTCTGTGCTTCCGTGCAGGCAGCGATGTCCCTGCTGATTTCCCGCACAGACACGGATGTTGGAGCTCCTTCAGTTCAGTATTGGAATCAGTACCACTAAGAATTAGTGCAAGACATTTCTGCTGCTGCATTAATGAACACTGTCACAAATAATGGCCCATACTCCAGTTGTCATAGTTTATCCTGTAAGCTCACATTGAAGCTGTTGTCGCTAACCCATGAATGTGGTATCAATGTCTGGTATCAAGTGTACTGAATGCCAATAGAACACCAAGACTGCCTTTTGATGCCAGTGCTGTGCATTATGTCTCAGTGTCTGTACTTCCCATACAGCAAAGTCCCTTGTCTAATCCCAAAAACCACTCTGTGCTGAAGTGACAGCATCAGTTCCCCCTGCTGTTACACATTTTGTCAGCCCTTTGTGACACTGCGCAGCAACAGGTCCCTTGAGACGTTTGTCTGCAAAGCTACCCTAGATATGTCCCTTTTACAGTGTGTTCACCTGTCTTCTAGGATTAAGCAGTTGAGAATCCAGTAGTGGCTGCTCCTCCTGTATGCACTTGATCCTGAGAAACATCCTGACCACTCATTTTGTTTAGAAAAGCAAACACAGTGGGAGCAATTCCCTTACCTAGTAAAAGTGAAGTTTTGTGCCATCACAGGGTCACTTTCTTTCTTACTGATCACACTTTACCCTTCCTGGCATGTTTTACTGTCGTTAATTGTTAAGGATACCATATCATTAGTAAAAGCAAAGACCATCAAACTTGTATATGGACAATTTCACTGCCATTTGCAGATGGAAATCCATCCAAATCAAGGAATGCTGTGTAAGATGATGTGCCCATCACACCCGCATGAAAATACATTCCTTTTATGAGAGTTGTCTCTTGTTGACTCATCTTTTTATAAAAGATTCAAAAATATTTCCTCTTTTAAGGTCAACATGAAAAGATACAAATTTAAGACAGTTTTGTTGTGCCAAGCCCATGCTCATGATACTGTGAAAACACTGTACTGAAATATATGCTGAGAAAGCAGACACTTCAGTAAAGCAGCACATCAGAAAATCTGCTTAAATATGTCACAAAGTTTTAAAACCAACAGAAAAAACACCACCAACAAACAATCCTGAATGTTATTCCACACTGTTGAAAACAAACTGCAAATTCTAATCTCTTTGAATAGCTCTAGCCATAATTCTCCACTTCTACCTCCGCAACCCGTCTTTAACCAGAGATTATGTGTTAAGTAAATACTTGCAGCTGCTAAAATATGAGAGACACACAAAGAGGTGGGCTACATCAGAAGCATTGGCTTACCAAGAAAACAGCTTTAATATTCTATTATTAACAGGGAAATGTAATACATGAGTAGAAGTGAAGTGTGTTTGTAGATAATCTGCTTCTAACATTCAGCTGAGCATGAAATCTCTTGAAGAAAAGCCTGATAGAGATCCCAGGAAAACATTCCTTTAGCTCACTGCTGCTTCTTTGTTTGATGGGGCAGTTCACTTTGTTCCTTTACGCTGAGCTACTTTATACTAACACAGAAAGTATTCTTCCTCCCTCTAATCCTAAGAGGAGCACAAGCTCTTAATATCTTGACTTTGCCAATTTCAAAGTTTCAGTAAGTCAAGTCCTTATAAAAGGTGTTTTACCTGCAAAATGATACATGAGAATCTCTCTTCCTCTGTGATGCATGGTAATTGTATTTATTTTTCAATGAATTCTGTGTTTTCCAATTTGAAACTGTCTTAAATTATATTAAAGTACAAGCCTTAGATCTGTGATGTTACATAGCATGTATTTTCAGTCAAACTTTCTATTGTCTTTTACCTCAGTATTTGTTGTGTATCCAAGAAGTAGGAACATAGTAGTTCTGAAGAAGTAAAAATGGTATAAGTAAATGAAAATCTCCAGTTTTGTGATAAAATAAGGTGATTCTTCTCATAGTCTCTTTCTGCTGGGTTGTGCAATTTAAAGTGTGTGTTTACTTCTTTTCTTTTATGTGAAATCATATAATTCACAATCCAAAATCTGTGTGTAGCTGTCAGAAAATCAGCAAACTGTCATAGGATTTTTAAAGAAGTTTTCACTCCTTCCTTTAGCATTCAATTCTAAAGCTGTCTTTTGTTGGTTTTATTTAGGTGGGATACAGAGATTGTGGGATTAGCACTGTTCTAAGGCGGCTGGGCCTTGGGTGCTCATGCACAGTTTCACTTTCATGGCAACTTCTTCCTTACTGATGCAGGCTTACTCTCACTAAGTATTTTCTTCAAGCCACAAGGTATTTTCCACTGGTCAACACATCAGCTACTTAAGACCAACTGGCTGTCCCTTCTAAGTTGCTTTTAGTCATTTTTCCTCAAAAGCCAGGAAAAATATTCATGTATCCGGCAGGGTAACAATGATACTGCATCTAACCAAAACAGCTCCTTCTGAGAAGTTGGCCATTAATTCCTCTCTGGTAGCTTGTTACCACTAGATGTCTGCTGAGGTTACACTCTATGCATTTCCCATAACTGCACCCACAAGTGACTGAATTTTCAATAAGAACACCACATCCTTTTTTGGACTCTCCTCTTCCCTCCCTCAGCAGCTGCAGCTCGCCACAGCACTGCAGCCTCTCTTTGTGTTAGGTGTTGTACCTCTCTCTGGAGCGAAGGACTCTACAAACAGCACAAGACTGTAAGGTTGCTTTTACTTTCAGAATGAGTTTCAACACTCAGGGTTTTGGGAAGTGAGTTTTGCACAGGCAGAAATGAGAAATGGTCTACATTCAAAACAGAAAAAACATTTCTGGGTTTGTACCAACAAGTACAGAGTGTTCTGTTCTCCCATAAGAAGCAGTGGCAGTGAAGCCTACCCCTGCCAATAATGAAGCACATCTAAAGGAGGACTCAAAGCTCTATCTAGGCACGAGGAGTGGAGGCACATTCCCTCCAGAAATCAGCACTCACTGAACCTGCTCACCAGCTGTAGGTGCAATTAGCTGTGTCCAATTTACATTTGGAGCACAGGGGACCAGCTTTCACAGCAGCACGCTTAAAGCAGCAAACACAAAAAGCTGTGGTTTGTCAACACAATGCGCAGTTTCTCTGTTCAATGGGAAACTTTACAAAATGTATGTGCAAGGTATAATTACAGCACGCCACAAATAAAATTTCAAAAGGATAATTGAAACAACACTCATATCTTGGAAAAATAAGCTGGTTAATTGTTGTAGGTTCACTGATGTGTCACAGCACACAATACAATTAATAAAATATAAACACCAATTTTCAAATCAACACAGCTTGATAATTTGAATTCAAATTTTAAGAACAGAAGAAAAAACCCTAAAAAACACCACAAGTCCTTCTTTCATCTGTTCCCTTTTTCATGCTCTCTGTGGCCATTGAGACTATTAGGAAACCAGCCAATTTAGTCAGAAAACTTTGCAGCATAGCAGGGAGTTTCATTTGTCATCACATGCAATAGCAGCTGTCTCCATCAAGAATGAAGTTAATCAGTACAGACTAAATAAATTAGGTAATTCCTTAGATTGTTAACATTGTACTTTTGAATGAAGACCAATCTTTGTCTTCTGATGCTGGAAAACTTCTCTTTCAAGTAAATAAATTCTGTGGTTTGAAACTAAAGAGCAGTGAAATTCCTTAATGTATTTTTTACCCAAATATTTTTGGTAATGGAAGATATTCAGTTTACACAAGGGACACAAAGTGTTAAAATTTTAAAGGCAGAAAAGCAAACAGGTTTATACACAAAGACTTCAGTATTTACTTTACTCTTATGATCACTTTTTCTAAAAACAACAGTAAATCTTTTCACTTTGTTCCAGATTTTATTTTAATTCTTTCTGTGATGCTTGAAAACAAAATATAGTATATGGTGCCTATTTAACTAAAGGTGCCTATTTAGCCTTAAAAATCTGCTAGGCAATTTTGTGAGAAACCAGAGCAACTAAAACACATATTACAATAATTAAATAATTAAATATAAAAGAAAAGGTTGAGCATCACATGTATTACCTACAGAAGTTGTTAAACTATTGATGGGAATATTAATGCAAAGAATATTCATATTGTGACACTATCAAAGGCATAAATCAAAGTGGAGTACATTTTTGCAGAGTCAAGGGAAAATTGCTTTTGTTTTGGCACTTGGTTTGACATGTCATGTCCAAAGAAATTATAAAACAGTTTCAAGATATATTGAGTATATTAAAGTATTGTGCTTTATCAGGAAGGCAGAAGCAAAAGGCAGGAGAGTTGCAGGACAGACACAGCTCTTAAAGCAGCATAGGTAAGCATGGTTACAATCTTTGGTCTTTGGCAGCCTAGGCCTAGTCTTACAGACAAGCTCGAGGTGAAAAATATGGTTCATATGGATTTACAGAACTTACATAAAGTTCTAAATTTTTTACATGAAGAGGTTTCATTTTGAAAGCTTGAAATTATCTTTTTCTTCTGAAGATTTGATAAGGTAAGTTGATTTAGAACTCTGTTTTACAGAGAAAAGGG